GTCTGTAATGGATTTGAAAGTGGCCATTCTTAAGAACATAAGAACAGAAGAACGGCCGTACTGGGTCAGACCAAAGGTCCATCTAGCCCAGTACCCTGTCTACCGACAGTGGCCAGCACCAGGTACCCCAGAGAGGGTGGACCGAAGACAATGATCAAGCGATTTGTCTCCTGCCATCCCTCTCCAGCCTCTGACAGACAGAGGCCAAGGACACCATTTTATCCCCTGGCTAATAGCCTTTTATGGGCCTAAGCTCCAGGAAATTCTTCTACGACAGAATTTCAAAACCCAGATACAAAGGGAGACAGCTGGACTGGGATTCATTTACAAATTCAACACCATCGAGTTAGGACTGAATTAGGATCTCAACTGGTTAGCACATTACAAAAGCAATTCCTCCTCTCTGGATATTCACATCTCCACCCCACATGCTGTGAATGAGCCACTTCCACCCTGACTTGATTAGCTTCATTCACACAAGTAACTTCTTCCTTAAATATACCCCCTGCTTCTGTAACTTCCACTCCGATTCATCCGATGAAGTGGGTTTTACCATGAAAGCTCATTCCCTAATAAAGCTGTTAGTCCCTAAAGCTACGACTACACTGCAGTACTATTTTGGGCTACCGGAGATATTCCAAAATAGCTATTCCACGTCTTTGGAGCACATCCATTATTTCCAAATATAAGGGGCTCGCTATTCTGACATCCCTGTAAACTTCATTCTACGAGGAGTAAGGGACATTTCAGAATAGCGATTTATTACAAAATAAGTGCTGTGTAGACAGTGCCAGATTTCGAAATAAGCTATTTTGAAATAACTTCTAAATAAGATATGCTATCCTGAAATAGTGCTGCAGTGTAGACATAACTCCTGGCAGGATCAGTTTCTAAGGCTAAGTGCCTGAACCCCTATTGAGTTCAGTAGGGGTTGTAGACCTCAGAGGCCCGAGAAAAGAATAATGGACATGAGTATAGCGACCAGTCAGGAATGGATCCTCTGTCATCTCTTACATTCATTCACGCTCGTCCTCCATCCCTCCCTTGCTTTCCTTCACGCCTTCGCTTTGTCTGGCGCGCTTGGAAGTTTAATCTGTTACCAGCCAGGAGATGAAAGGCGAAGGCATTAACTGGGCGAGCCATTTAATTGCAGAGCAATCAGCTTCTGTAAGGAGCCAAGCACTTGTGCCCAGCTGTGAATCAAAGAGGAGCGGGTGGAGGGAGATTAAAGGCTCTTTTCAGATATGCTCCTTCACAAACATTCCAGGTGAAGAGAGACTCATCCATGCAGAACCCAGAGCCCAGTGGTGGAGGGGTGTGAGTGTTGCTGACAGCCAGGAAACACCGTTAGTGAATAAATGCAGACTCGGCCCTTGGAGATAATCATTTAAAGTTGAGGAAGGATGGCCCTGTGGGAAGGGGATCACTCGAAGCAGGGGCCGTCACTTACGACGGGCATGTGAGGCACACAACCGGCCCAGCCTAGACACTCCTGCGTTACAAAGACTAATCCAAGATAGCGAATTGCAATAAAGGGCTACTTGCTGCTGCCCTCTTCCCAGACACGGGGTTCTCACCTCCATTCTGAAAGGAGGCAGAGGGAGGAAAGCAACAGAGAACGTGACGCATTTGCTTTCTTAGGGCCCAGTTTGCTTGCCAGTCCCTGGGGAAATCCATCGCATGGGTGTAACTGCAACTTGCTGCACCGGCCGGCCTATAAAGTGAACTCTCTCCGACTGACAACGTGCCAGGAGCCTGAGCTGGCAACAGGCTCAAGGTATGGTAGTGACTGATGCTCCATGAAAACCTTAGCAGGCAGCTAGAAAAGAAAGCAGCTGATTGCAGCTCTCCAGGGGTGTGGCCCATAGCAAATGCAGCGTCTGGAGCATTGCATGATGGAACTTGTAGTCTCTGCAAGCCGCAACGCTGCAGTGAAAACAGGTCTGGCCAAGGGGATACTCTGGGTAATTCCATGGGCGCCTTAGAGCATGCGTTGGCCACCCCCCTTAGAGCCGCTTGTCCACACAAGCAGGACTTCACTCTGCTGTGGGGGGTCTCAAAGCCCGCAGGGCCACCCACATGGGGACAGAGTCTGCTCCTCTGTCCGGGGTGCCTGCTGCTACCGGCTCAATTCTTCTGCGGGCGCAGCACAGGAGGGGAACAGAGACCAAAGGCGTCGTGTTTGTCTAGCTCCTGGGGTTGCGACAGTGCCCGTCATCCCTGCCAAGAGCTGGGCCTGCCTATTCAGTGACATCTGGCCGGTGGGCTTGGTCCAAGTCGGGAAAATTGCCTCTGTTCCCTTCCACTCGTCGCCTTCCATCAGAACCCTGCCAGCTTCGTTAACCGAAACGAACATCTAATTCTAGCCTCGCAGGCAGTACCACGAGCTGGGCTCTACATTCAGATTTGGGGAGTATTAGACAATACAATTATATTGGCTACTACGCGAATCCCTGCAGGCCTGTACGTGGGGGTGTGTGCAAAGGGTGCGAACGCCCCCCCTCCATGTTCCCCCATGGTCCGGCCGGCTGAGGGAAGGCTGGGGCTGATTCTCCGCCCCCCCAGGAGTGAGGCTGGGGGCAGGGCTAGGTCTTGCTCCTGGGATGGGGGGATCAGCCCCAGCCTTCCCCTAGCCAGCCAGAGCATGCTTATTTGGGGGACCATGGCGGGGTGGTGCAGTCACACCCTGGCAGTCCACATTTACAAGAAAGCACCCCCCCCACACACACACACACAGAAATTCCTGCATATGGGCCTGCCCTGGTAAGAAAGCATCACTGCCATCGAGTACCAGCTGTTGCGAGGGTATTGGATAGCTAACCATTGCGGGTACAGAGCAAGCCAGAAAATCCCATTGCGTCTCCCTAGGCTGCAAGAGGCCAGCTGTGATTCTGGCATAATTCTATGGGAGGCTGTGGCAATTCGCCAGGCATGGATCTGGAATGTACAATTGTGATTTGGGATAGAGCAGCGCCCAGAAACTGGGATCCAGACTAAGGCCCCGTTGTGCTCGGTGCTGTACAGACACAGAGCCCCTCCCCTAAAGGGCTGACGGCCTGCGCTGGCAAGACACACACAGGGTAGGAGGAGAGACAGAGGCACAGAGAGGGAAGTGACAGGTTCATGCAGCAGGGGACTGGCAGCGCTTGAAATAGAAGCACCCCTCTCTGGTGCCCGGTGCATAAGAGCGTGCGACATGAATTTAGTAATATGGGAAAGGAAGCCTGGGAGAAAGACCGACCAAGACATGCCAGTGTGCGTGTGCGTGTGCGTGTGCATGTGCGTGTGCATGTGCGTGTGTGGGGGGGGTGATGCTCACAGCTGACCCTGCGCCCAGCCTTCTCCCCAATGCCCTCTCAAACCTCCCCCAACGCAAAAGGAGAGTGCATGGCACTTACATGCCAGCCATGATCTGGCTAAATCCTTGCACGTCCTCAGGCCAACGGGAAGGAAAGGGCGACCAGCCGGTCCCTCTTCACGTGCGGTTCTCAGGTAGTGAGTCCACCCCCATGCTAGGGACGTCGTTTGGCGTCTGCCGGTAGAAGGTTCCGTTGACTTCACAGGGCGTTTGCTGCAGGATTTTGCGGCTGGGGTGCGAGACAAGTCGGCGCCCCCTTTTCACGAGCCCAGCCCTTTCTGGCAGAGTCAGATTTGCTGGGCTACGCTCGAGGGAGGGGACTCAGCGACCGACCGTGTCCCCCATTCCCAATTCAGAGAGGCCCCGCTGTCCTCGGAAGAGGGGGAAAGGTTAGCAGGAAATGCATCACAATCCTCACTGCACCAGGGCACCTCACTGCAGCTGCCTGCCCCTGGGGCCAAACCCTGCCTCTGCTGAACAAGGCCACAGCAGGCTAAGCTAGGACTGAAACTGCCCGTGCAAGTTTAAGGAGATGGAAGGCAGGGAGGGAAAACCTGAATTTGGCCAGGACACCAGGATTAACCCTCTTCCTGGCGAGGCCCAGGGGTGTCTGGTGCCTGCGGGGAGGGGCATGTGCAGGGGCTCCATTTCTCTATTAAGATTGTGGCAGGAGCAAGGGGGGAGGTGCAGTGGTCCCTAGTGGTTAGGGCCTTGGTTCTCGGTGTCTGGCTGGCAGAGGGAGCTGGCCAAGGGCTCTGAAAGTCCAGGCGCTCCGGATTCCGGCTCAGCCTTGTCCACAGCACGGAGCCCAATCGAGAGGGGACGGTTCCGCCAGAGGTGACTTCTCGCCCCCCACCCCCAGCCGGGGGCTTTCTGCTCTGCTCCAGGCCCTGTGCTGGGAGGGAAGCTGGCTTTGCTGGCCTGCTATCACGGAGCCCAATCGAGAGGGGACGGTTCCACCAGAGGTGACTTCTCGCCCCCCACCCCCAGCCGGGGGCTTTCTGCTCTGCTCCAGGCCCTGTGCTGGGAGGGAAGCTGGCTTTGCCGGCCTGTAATTGGCAGCATGGGGGGGGCATGCAGGGGGGGTTATGTAGCTGTCCTCCAGCCAGAGGCTGCAGTCACAGCGCTCTGCCGGGCCACGTCCCCCCGCTCCTGGGGGCTCATTGCTCCAGCCCCGCAGCCCTTCTCGCCAGGCTGGGCCAGG